GCTGTAACCCTTGATCCAAGAAATCTGAGCCACAGTTTTTTTCCTGGGATCAGACCTGGTGGTTTGCCATTCCATAGTTGATATATGGCCCCTTCAGGTTTAGTGCATCTCCATAAATTCAATAATAATACATACACCGACAGGAGTATATAACTGTGTATACACATATAATTATTTAATTCCAGTTTCGAAAGTTTTCATATTCTTGACATTTGTAACTTAACTAATTGCGATGTTAATATTGTGGTAATAAATCTTAAACCAAGAAAACTAATTGGCATGTATATATATATATATATATACAAACACTGATCTCTGACTGAAGGAGACTCGAACGTACGAACCTTGGCACAAGATACGCAGTGCTATACCGAGCTCACCACACTGGACCAGTGTGGTGAGTTTGGTAAAGCACTGCGTACCTTGTTCCAAGGTTCGAGTCTCCTTCAGCCAGAGATCAGTGTTTGTATATTTCGCCTGCTCTCGCGAATTCCTTGTATATATATATATATTATATATTATATATATATTATATATATATATATATATATATATATATATATTATATATATATATATATAATATATTATATATATATATATATATATATATATATATATATATAATATATAATATATTATATATATATATATTATATTATATATATTATATATATATATATATATATATATATATTTATATATATATTATATAATTTTAAATATATATATATATATATATTATATATATATATATATATATATATATAATATATTATATATATATATATATATAAATTTGTGCAAATAGAAATTGATATGTGATCTGTTGAAAGTAGTTTTAACATATGTAATTGAGCCTGGATATACTCATGAAATAGGTAGGATAAGGAAAATAACTATACTCTCCATTATTTTCGTAGTGTGGTGAGGTATTGACCGGTACAAAGTTTAAGCAGCATCTGTAAGGGAGAGGTCATCCGGTGCTCACGTAGGTGAAAAACGTGCTGATTTTAACGGTCTCATTTTCAAGGAGACTCCCTCGCTGCCTGAAGTATCCTACACTTCAGGCAGGAAGTGTTGGTTCAGCACCTTTACTCTCTCATCATAGCTTATACCCTCAAGTCTATTATTAGTCTTGCTGAAAACTCTGCACTTTTTTTCCGGTGACTTCACTTTCGTTCACAGACTGATCAGGTGTGAGAGCCTGGGAGGTGTTGCATACTTCAAGAAAGACATGATATATATTGTTATGAACGACTCTTTTGTGTGCGTGTGTGATTTACAAAAAAAAAAAATAATTACAGTTGCGGGGAGTCTGATAAAATTATCTTTATGATTTTTTCATTTTAAACCCGATTAAAAATACAATTGAAAAATTTATGAAAATTTAGTATAACAAAAAATAAAGTATCGTATATATGGTCTAGAACATTCTTTGCTGAAATAATAACATTTCGTCAGGTTCTGTAGATATCTAAAGTGATTACAAGTTGCTGACGTATTTGGTAGAGGTGGTGAGGAAAACATGCACCAGAATTATCCTCTATGTGCGTCATGAGTGGGGCAGATAACGGATAGATAACAGATGTCCTTGGTAGGCAGCGCCCTTGGGAAAGTTAGATATAGAGGTAGGAACCAATTTCTGTTGGGTGCCCTTGATAAAAGACAAACTAAGAACTGTAGGCAGTCCTTCAAGAAACGAAAGTTGACAAGGATGGCAAGAAGCAGTGTTTTTTTTTTTTGAGTCGTCTGATGGGAAAGCTGATTCGTTATTGTTTCGTCCGCTAAGGGCGACCCGTGGGAGAGATGCGGAACACATCAGGCTGTTATGGCGCTGACGCAGTGCTTGCTCTCACACTGAGAAAATAACTGATAATTATTGCTGGAGTGAAGTAGAGAAAATAACAACTTGAGAATGTTTTTGTGAACTGCTGCAGATGTCCTCACACCCGCAATATATGTACTAATCTTCACCTGTCCCTAATTTACTTTTTATATACTGTACTACTCATAAATCGGTGAACCTGAACTCACTGAGTGCTACATGTACCTATCGTCACCTGCAAGTGATGTATCTCTAGTCTTACTGTATCAAAGCTGTACAATAATCTGCCTTACCATTCTCACCCTGCGCCACATGTAGGCACCTGTTATCACTTGTACGATATGTACCTTTCAATTCCTAACTAACATAAGAATGTATACAGCAGCTCTTATCCTCTTGATATATTACAACTCTGAAACTACAAAATTGTCTTTGTGCCTTATCACACCTGCTAATTATATATTTTTAATAAAAAATCAGTCAGCTGGTCACATAATTAATGGAAGTGTTGTCACTTAAAAAAAATCCTGTTAAAATACCGACAGGGAGATGAACATACCAGAAGGGAGCTTAAACATTAACCAGGAGGGAGATAAACAGACACCAAAAATGGAAATGTTTCAGTTTAGTTATACTCTCTTAGCTATGTAACATGCATTCAATTAATCTGTAAGATGGAATTAAAGCAAACTCTCGGTGCAAATAGATTAAGAGATACATAACGCTCGGTGAGTCACCTCATCATGGAACACTCCACGGCCAACGTGAACCACCGCACACTCACTACTCAACCCATTTTCATTTTACAGTGTCAACATTTTAACGTGGTGCTCAGTATCAATTTCTTAATACTTATAATTTTTCCTTAATGCTACTGTATTTTCTGTATTGTGTATTAGGCTAACTAGATTTAGGTTAGGCAAGATTAAGTTAGGTTGGGTTAAACCCATAAAAAACGTATACTGAACTGCAAATAAGCAGATATCAAAAGCCGGACTCGATACATTTGGCAGCGTAGTAGCAGAAGAAACGAACGATATATTGACATCGCGCTATACGTTTCTCATGGAATATATGCTGAGAGTTTACTTTAATCCCTATGTAAAGCGGGCGTATGTCCCTTGCTTTAAAATAATATTTACAAATCACTTTCAACGAAAAATAAATATAAAAAGTTATTACTCTGTGAATAAGGCTGTAAAACAGACAAGCTGATAAAACGACATTATGGTAAAAGAGAAACAATTACTGAGCCGGGTTGATCACTGTGAGGTAGCTGAATAAATTACTGTCATCGTCAAGGCGTCTGTTTGGCGTTGGAGTAGAATTTTACCTGTACGCGAGGTAATGTCTTCCACTCTGTTGGTGAAGGCATAGTGTAGAAACTCTAGCCCTAGACAATCTTAGCTACTTCACTAGTATATTCCAAATATGGTTTTTACACTACCTCTTTGATCTTTTTATTTGTGGCAGCAAAGTGAATCCGGGCGACATGACTGTGCACTGTAATCAGTGAGAAAGTGAATTTCATGAATGCAATACAGCCTTCATGTTTCTTAACTGGACTCATTGCCTTGAGTCTGAGAAATCTGATGTAATTGACCTGCTTCTGAATATTTTTTTGTCTATCCAGAAATCAAATAATGTACAAGATCCAGTTCATTTAAACTCGATGTTTTGTATGTCGAGTTTGCTGGGTGGATCTCTTGCCTCTTGCGTATATATACGTATAAAGAATTTTATATGTAAGTTGCGATCTACTGATATCTTAGACTTTCTTCTGATATCTTCAGTCTGAGGTCTTTATAGAATAAATTTACAAGGTTCAATGTTTTTCTGGGGTTAGTTACCTCTTCCCGATACAACAATAGGCGTTCGCTTTAGAGGGTTTTGTAGCCGGAGTTGTGTTCCTGGAAGGTGAGTCTGATCTGTTTATTTTGAAGGGATTATTTGATACAGGTACTGCGTGTCAGCAGTACTGGATGGAGGTTGCACTGAAAAACACAAAAGCTTTGATAAGACAAGGAAGACTATTATACTGCTGCATTTGCCGGGAAAGACGGTGGGGGGGGAGGGGTTAAGGACGGCCAAGTTTCCATTTCAGCCGATTTAATATTATAATTTCTGCTGTTTTTGCCATGTAACTGACAGAGATAGGGGTTCCAAGTTGCCTGAATCTTCTTGTTTGGTTATTAGTATGATGCTGTTCATCGTCCCAAAAATTTGGAATGCTCCATGATCTATTTGACATATATTTATTACATCTACTCATACTAACTTTTAAAATTATGGAATAAGTGTTACCAACATTGCCAGGGATCCATTATGGTATCACATTTAACTCTATTTACCCACCAGGTATCAAAATTAGGTTGAAAAGCCTATCCGTTGTCCTTCTTGATATTCCGTTAAGGAAATGCTGGAATTGCACCTGGTCCTTTTAAACAAAGAGTAGTAAAAGTAGAAGATATGACAATTCCGATAACATTCATGAAAGAACACAAATACATACAATTAGGAAATCTTTACTAGATACATTTCGGTTCATTATCACTCCAAGGTCCCAGGACCAAAACGTATCCAACAGAGATGTTCTGAGTGTGTGCACTTATGTACTTTCAACCAGAGAGTGGCGACGACTGGCGATCACTGGTGAGTGTGGGGTGGATTTTCAGTTTAACACTATTCAGTAGATATTTTGCCCCGAAAGTCAGTTCAAGAATGTACAAACGTCATCCGAGGACATAAACGGTGAAAGTAACCTTTGTGAATATGACAAGATTAATGTTGTTGTAATCAGTTGATCGTAACTTTATCACATACTGCCAGATTACAGATGAGCTTAATATCAGATGTAAATGAGATTAAGACAGAGCTACAAATGATTTTGGGGGCTGTTTCGCTGGCGACTGAAGCATATAGTTATTGTTTTTGCAATTATTATTATTATTATTATTATTATTATTATTATTATTATTATTATTATTATTATTATTATTATTATTATTATTATTATTATTATTAATTTATTCGTGAAGAACACTAAACCCGTGATGGTAATTTAGCGCTTCAAACCGAAAATGAGAGAGACAATAGTGTCTGGGGAAGGACAAGAGAGTCAAACGACAGATATTAAGTCTTCGATGAGAGTTTCATTGATAACGAGGGAAACGGTGGCTATATAAGTGTTGAAACAGTTGCCTTCTGCACCAGTTTGTCTCAAACCGTAGAGATGATCAGAGTCCTCGTTCAGACTATCCTGCTTGGAGTGGCCAGCTTGGCCCTTCTACAGACAGGTATTGTCGGGTTATTGAAAAGGTCCACTACTAAATCTTGTACCTGGGCATGAAGATAAAGTAACTATCCTGGCTGTCTTTAGTTACATTCTCTTTTGAGCTGAAGGGCCTCGGTATTCGATCCATGGTGTCACTCTCACGTAGGATCCTGGTAGAGCACTCATATGCTCGCACCTAGGCCTAGTTTGATTTTGTGATTTGTTAAGACGTTTGACGTTGCCCTCGGGACGAGAGTTTCTAAGTAATAATATTGGTATAGGGATGTGGCTTATTTTACAATTAAAAAAAATATTTGACTTAAACAAAACAAGTTTATTAGGACTTTTTTCATACAAATTGCAAGAGCCTAGGCTTCTTGCACGTTCCGGAAACTTATAAATTTTAGCTCTTTACAATATAGTAAGAACAAATATAGTAACTGAGGTATCAATTCAGATTTTCTTAGATTTGCCGAGTTAAATATTCTTCATTACAAAGTCATACTATTAAAGTCAATTTTTAAAATTAACTTACAGGTATACATGGTATACATGGTTGTTAATTACAGAATATTATATATAATATTATATATATATATATATATATATATATATATATATATATATATATATATTATATTATATATATAATATATATATATATAATATATATATATATATTATATATATATAATATATATATATATAATATATATATATGCTGTAATTGACAACCATGTATACCTGTAATTTAGATACAGTGATAGAGTTATTTATTTTGCAGGAGTGGCGGCTCAGTGTGATGCTCTCACCATCATCACAGAAACACAGAACAGCTATGATGGTAACTTCACTTCAGAGACTCTCATCCCTATCAATGGTCTCGACGTTGTCATCACCTTCGACAGCCCCGTCGATAACTTGGCTGTGAGTAAACTACATTGTTCGTTGTAACCGTGTGAACTATTATTATTATCCATATTTTACAGTTTAATCATATTCAGAAATGTTTCAACATTTATTTACATCAGCGTCAAAATAGCGCAAAGTAACTTGAAAAACTACTCAGTCTTAGTTTATTTATGATATAGAGACTTGAAATCAAAAGAGTTGTACCTAAACATGCTTGATCTTGCATATCTTTAAGTTATCTCCTTGACAAGGAGAATGCTGACATTTTTAAATAAAATCTTTCATACAAAAATTCTTTCTTCTTTCAACAAACAATCCACATCCCCCAGAAGCAGGGTGGCTCTTAAAGAAAAACAAAAGTTATATAAATATATATATATGAAATTAAAGAGACTGTTAACAGAAATGTATTTCTTAATTATTTCATAGTATTGGGATGGCGGCGTGGAAAAGATAGACGACACTCACTTCAGAATCACTAATCAGAAGTTCTTTGAGACGGGCAGCTACGTGAGCGTTCACTTTCAGGCGCATTACCAGGAAGGCACCAGACCGAACGTCGTTTCGATCACTCTGAATGGCCAAGAGGCGTGTGGTGAGTTGTTACGCGTTGTAACACCATGGCTTTTTCAACTTCGATTGCGACCAGTTACTGGGCTTATTTAAAAAATGATCTAAATCACTGAAACGAAGTTTAAGAATTTGATAATTATAATATAATTATTTCTATCATTAAAAAATAACATTAATACTATAAGAAAAAAATTCTGAAAGCAATATAATTATGTCATCTTTATCTAGAATATAAATATATGCAGCTTCAAAATATTCCTTTATAAATTGCCTTCAGATGGGTCGTTGCAGTGGACTACAGTGACGCCTTTCACTAATCCATGTGCGGCCACAGGCATGGGGAAATATGATTACTCTCAGGTTAGTACATTCCCAAGATTTTTGCTGAAGATTTAATTTAATGTACTGATAGCCTCTTTTGCGAATTTTCTTATTTTCTGAAATATGAGTCTCACCTGTGTAACTGGACTTCAGAGGCTTTGATTACTTACGGGACACAATGCTAGGTAAAAATTAGTGATTTATGTTATTCATCTCATAGCTCAGACTAATGCACATATAATTTAAAATATATATAACGAAATGGTCCTAATTTTGATATAAAGTGATGCCGAAATACACAGTTCTCATTCACTTTCTGTTTTACTATTTCTAAATAAGTACATTTATGCAAATTCCACTTCTTGTAAAGACTACCATATTTTCTGTATATGCACTACGTGATTATTATATTAATAAAGAAAGTACTAGAAACTGAGTCATTTTTTTTTCATCTGCAGGTTCTGTGTATGTCCATCCTGTTCTACGAGGCTCAGCGATCTGGTCATCTGCCTGAAGATCAACGAGTTACTCCATGGCGGTGGGACTCAGCCTTGGACGATGGCTCTGATGTGGGTCATGACCTTACTGGCGGTTATTATGACGGTGAGAGAGAGAGAGTGTAGGAGAGAGAGAGAGAACGAATGAATGAATACGAATATGACCAGCACAGATGGGTACATCTGCCAGCTACAATTACACCTGCCTGACCCTGGAACCACCTCTTCCCAACAGCTGGTGACCACGTCAAGTTCGGCTTCCCAATGGCCTACACAGCCACCGTCCTGGCCTGGGGACTCATAGACTTTGCTGAAGGTTATGAGAAAGCTGGTAAGTAATGCATGTTTCTTTTATTAGATTTTTTATATAACTTACTTTTAATTTTTTTAATTTTGAAGGAACACAGCAATGGTAATATTAAAGAATTGTGTCAGAATTAATAATATTAAATTAACATAGATATTTAGTTATAAATTGATTGAAGGAAGTAAATCAAAGCAGTTCATGTTACTTTTAAAGACTTATCAAAGGCACACATTAATATGAATTATTCAATGCATTTATTCTGTATATACTATTAATTCTATTTATTCTATAATTCTATTTATTCTATATGTTTTTTTTATTAATTCTATATATAATAACAGTGTATTTATTATAAATATAATATATATAAAGATATTTATAATTATAATATATATATATATATTATTATATATAATATATATATAATATATATTAATATTCTGTCTTTCTTTCAACACCCAGCCGTATCCACCGAGGCGGGGTGGCCCAAAGGAAAACAAAAGTTTCTCCTTTTACTTTAGTATATATACGGAGAATAGGTTACTAGCCTTGCCCCGCATTTTAGTCGCCTTTACAAACGCATGCTTACGGGAGAATTGTTCCACTTCCCCATGGAGATAGAGGATATAACAAAACAGAACTAGAAAGAAAATAGAGAAAACCCAGAGGGGTGTGTATATATGTGCTTGCATGTATGTGTAGTGTGACCTAAGTGTAGTAGAATACAGACGTACTGAAAATTTGCATGTTCATGAGACAAAAAGGACACCGCAATCTACCATCATGTAAAACATAAGCTTCGTTACACTCACTTGCAGGACGGTAGTACCTTCCTGGGCGTTGCTGTCTACCATTTACTACCTAGGATATATATATATATATATAATATATATATATATATATATATATATATATATATATATATATAATATATATATATATATTATATATATATATATATATATATATATATATATATATATATATATATATATATATATATATATATATATATATATATTATATATATACACACACACACACATGTATATCTATACATGGGCAGCGTTTAAATATAAGTACAAACATCCCTCTAACTATCTGGAAATCGAACCCTCACCATCTAAGTAAGATTCAAAGAAATTGAACATGTTGTTTACTTCAGCTTCAACATATTAATACGTTCACACCATCTCAGAAAAAAAAAATAAGAAGAACATAAGAAAGTAGGAACACTGCAATAGGCCTGTTGGCCCATACTAATAATAACGCTAAATTAACACGTCAACAATTTCTCAAGAAGATCCCAGGAGCACTTAAGCAACAGTTCAAAATACATTCTCAAAAGTTATAAATTACACCTTCATAACATGCAATAAAACGTCAACACGCAGCAGTAACATGTCTACATGTCAACGACACATTAGTAATTCATCAGCAAGACTTCTACACTATGTTAACAACAAGTATAGCAGGTGCCAGCAACACGCTAACATCATGACAAAAATACTATAACAACACGTTCACAAAAAAACAGCAAGATATCTCTAGATTGTCAAGAAAACGACAAAAAGCACGTTTTTACTTACTCGACGAAACATCCGAATATTACGGATACATCAGAAATACATTAACAACACTTCCACAAGTCTTCTACAGCACGTCTAACTTTCTGCGCACTAAAAAGAAAACTAAAAAAATTTAATATTTGTTATTTTCAATTAGGCTAGATTTGGTTAGGCTTATTAGGATGACGTGTATTAACCTATAATTACGTATAATTATCAGAGAATAATGAAATTAGAAACACTACCTGCTTTCGTCCGGCAGCGAAAGGCGAATTGGAAATTTTCGAGCGAGTATTTTCTCACGAAATGTAAAAAGAAAGTCAAGTTATCTGTTGCACGAACTCATCCACAACACATAGCTGACAGTAGTAACGTGTATCTACCCTTAGGTCAAACTGAATATGGTCGTGCTGCTGTCAAGTGGGCTACCGACTACTTCCTCAAGGCCCACACTGCTGAATATGAATTATACGGCCAGGTGCGTCAGTTTTAAAACCTTCATATTTAGGGTGCTCATTATTAGTAGTAATTTAAGCATATTTGTGATGATTGTAGACTGGCTTTACGTCACATTTTAACTTAACAATTTCTTTGGGAGTCATCAGGTGGGAGATGGAGATATTGACCACACTTTCTGGGGTCGACCTGAGGACATGCATATGGAGCGACCCTCCATGAAGATTGACAGGAGTGCCCCAGGTCAGTTGAGTCGACGCCTTCTTTACGATGCAGTCTTGTATGGAAGGTTGATTGTTGGTTTTAAAAATTACGTTCATATATTGTATAATTCATCAAGTTGAATTTTATTCATTACTAACTGTGATTGTATTCTTATTATGTTAATTGATTGTCTTGGGACCGGTTGTTTTGACAAAACAACATACTCTACAAAGATAATGAATATATTAACCCTATAAATACACACAGCTCTCGGCCTAGACTACCTATCCTGTTTAACATCATCAGAAAAAAAGCCTAAAGGGTTTTAAAGAGACAAAGATATGTGTTTTAAACTTGTGATCTTGTGATTAGTAACAGGTCTTATGGTTCTGCAGGAACTGAACTGGCTTGTGAGACTGCTGCTGCCCTTGCTGCCGCGTCTATTGTCTTCAAGGTAAAACAGCTCCTGTTAACTTTAAATCCCTTTACACTCTATCCCCCTTCACTCACAGAGGATGAGTTCATAATTTGGTGTTGCTGCAGTTGACTTCACAAACTTCTTCCAAGAGAGACTGTCTCAAGAGTTATCGTGTAGGTACCAAGCAGTCTTGTCCATACAACTAATTCTTAAGATTGCTGCACCTAGGCTCTAACTTATATGTATGCGGAGTCTAATGTTTTCTTTCTTTACTATATATCACATTACGAGCACTTAACTACATAGCATTTTTAACTGTGTGCAGGACGTTGACTCCGCCTATGCGGCCGAGATGTTGGACGTTGCCAAGGAGCTCTATGCTTTCGGAGACGAATACCGCCTCGAGTACCACGAATCTATCACCGACGCTATCAACTTCTACAGGTTCGTGAGAGATGTAATTAAATATCCGCAAAGTATATCTAATTAAGGATATCTAATTAAGAGAGTGTGTGATTTTTGCTTTTATTTTTTTTTCTTCCTCCAACTTTTAGATTTCATTTCACTTATAATACGAAAATACCTCATACAATTGGCTTCAAATTTTCAACACATATCTGAGGTAACGAGGAAGAAATTCTTGGAACAAGTGGCAGAATCACGTGGACTATGACCAAAGCTGTTGAACAAATTCCCAGCATTCTGGAATGGTTCGGATAACTTAAAAAATCCTTAGTAACGTAGTTTCTAAGGTTTAAAAAGGTGACAAAAAAAATTTGACGAAGAAAAGAGTTAAAGTCAAATGTGTAGGTGCAAATCTCGTCATTTTAAATATATAGTAATGTGAAATTTCTATTCCCGATAAATCACATTAAATAATTTTCATTTTATCTCTTCTGAGCTGATTCAGTAATTATTAGCTGATTCAGGCAAATTTGTTGTAGTAAAATATTACAAAAAACATGGAATCCTCGCCATAACTAGAGAATGCCTCTTTTGATCGGCTTTAAACCTTACATGCTGATTTATTTTAAGAGGAAATATTTTTGTATTCATTTTGAGATGTGTGAGTGTCCGTTTTCCCTTTTTTTTTCTTTTTGCATCTTTTGAAATTGCATATAAAAAAATTTTCGTATAGGATTGTAAATAATTTTAAACAGAATATAAATGAGAAAAAAAAAGAACTGGAAGAAATGAAAATCCACGGTTTTAGGGTAATTTTTAAGTTGAATGAGAGGAGACTTTCCAGTTTTTTGGAACATTTCTCTGAAATTTTCGCGAATCACCAAAGAACGCCTTATTCAGTCTCCTTCAAACTTACACGCTGAGGCAAGTTTCATGTAACTGTTTGCATACATGGGTGCCCTATAGGTCATTCCCGAATTTTGTTTCCGTGTGATAGGTGGAGTCAGGCTTCTCTGATCAGTTTCAAAATTTCATCACTTAGAATAAGGTTTGGATATTTAACAGAGTATGCAATAATATCACAGTAAACAGGTAACAGAGTATGTAGATGCCATTTTGCCACTTCTAATCTCCACAGTCAATAGTAATTATTTTATTTTATTGAATTATTTATTCTTGATTCTGATGAGGGGTTCTTGAACCATATGAACTAGACTCATCTTTCATTTACTTTTACTGAATATGAATGCTTCCCATGTCTACAGGTGCTATATAACCCTTACGGGTTTAGCGTTTCTCGCTGATTAAAATAAAGCATTTGCGAACTGAGTCAGTTTTCAGTGGCTGATACATCGTATGTAGTTGATGGAAAGTTTAGTGGGCGTAGGCTATGTAGGCACAAATTTTGTTACATTCTATGCAATAACTGTAAAATGCATTTCTCTGGGTAGCCATAAAGTTTTAGTGCTGATGTGTTATAATCAAAGTAAATAGTCTTTTTATGTTAGGTTGTGAAAGTAATCATTTGCCAGGATTTTAATCAAACTGTATTTTGTGAAATAATTGGATAATGTCTCTTTCAGTCAGAAATAAGTTACAGTGTTTGACTTTATTTAAAGAATTAAAAGGCACAATAGCGTGACTGGAACAATAAAAAGCGTTTTTTTTTAATTTTGGTGATTTATACAGAAGAATGGGTTACTAGCCTATTACTCCCTCAATTTTAGTTGCCTTTTACGACACACGTGGTTTATGGAGGAAGGATTCTTCTCTACTTTCCCATGGAAATATAAGGAAATTAAATAAGAACAAGAACTATTTTGAAAATAGAAGAAAACTAAAATGGGTGTGTATACTCAGACATGTGCATGCATGTGTAGCATGAAGTAAGTGTAAGTAGACGTAGCAAGATGTATTAGCCATCTTGCATGTTTATGAAGCAAGAAAAAGACACACCAATCCTATCATTATGTAAAACAATTACAGGTTTCCGTTTCATGCTCATTAGACAGTACGGTTGTTCTGTCAAATGAGCATGAAACAGGTGGGTGCTGTCTTCCAACCTCGACATCCAAAAACCGTGTGCGAGCGTGTTAGGAATGAATAAAGGAAAGTGGTTTTTACATTACATGCCACTGGGTGTGATCAAGGTAACGCTTATGAAGGGATTCAGGGAAACCAGAAGGTGGGAAGTACAGTGTCTCTGGACCCTGAAGGATGGGTGGGGATATTGCAGCTTGCAGGGTCCTCTGAGCTGTAAGGTTGGCTAGTCTCTGGCAAGACCTCGCGGGGAGACGGTCAGTGAGTTGTATAAAATATCTGTGTCCTCAGTTATGGATGCAATTAACCAATAGTATTGGCTTCTACAACTTTTTAAAGAAATTAAATATAAGAAATTTGCCACAACGTGAAGGTAAACAAATCTCCTAATTTTTTTTAATTATTCATTATTATCTATGTCATGTTACTTAGATAGTGGCATTTGATGACCTTGGTCATGTACCTCGTATCACTTGCTGCTCCTGAACAAGTGCAAAATATCAAAATAATCAAACCTCTTATAAAGGTGAAGAAGGGAAAAATTGAAGTTTATATATATAAATCATTTCAAAGCCAGTCGAGCTAAGATGTAAAAGTGGAAAGGTAGGGATTTAGCTTTTCTGAGAGGAAAATCTTTCTTTACCCGACGAATGGCATGAAATTTTACCATGATAACAGGTCGTGGAGCGGGTACGGAGATGAGCTGCTGTGGGGAGCGCTGTGGCTGTACCGAGCTACAGAAGATGCCACCTACCTCACCAAGGCTCAGGCAGCCTGGGATGAGTTTACTCTGGGCGAGGGCGCACTACAGTTCTCCTGGGATGACAAGAAGGCCGGCGCTTATGTAAGTAATTAGTATCGTTATTTACGTGTAGTAATAAAATGCATTAGACAGACACAGAAAGTGGACATATAAATTACTGAATTTGAATTATTAAAACGGTGTATACTAAATATGGTGACAAGTGTAGAAAAAAGAATGAATTGCAAGGAATAAAGAAAAAAAGGTATCCTGGGGCCCTCTGACTTGAAGCTTGAGATCCTAGATCTTTTAAACAGTTTTTTGAAGGATCATGGTGAATGAGAGTGCTCCAAATGAAGAAGAGTTGTGTTAGAATGTCCTTCTCAAGCGATGGCGTAACTTTTCACGAGTGTAGAGACCTTACAAGATGAAAATTAGAAAAAAAAATTGATGCTTATCCTACTAGATGATAAACGGGATAACCCGGATAAAAATCTTGATCCTGTCACTCATATAAACCTACAATCACTAGTGTCCTCGGTATGGTCATTTTTAGCTGCTTCTTGCGTATGAGTGGCATAATTCGGTAGTGTAATCATAATACAGCTTACAGTAATATTTTTCCGAGAATATGAAAAAAATCATTTCACGTTACTGATTCTTCAGTTACTCCTGGGACAACAAAAGTCCCCTCACGTGACCAGACAGTAAGAGCAGCTGCATAACGTTGCATCTCGTTAAGCTAAAAGATGCGCAATGTTATGATTAGCTAATTAGTATTTTCTCATTTCACTTACTAAACTATTTAAAAATTATGGTTATACTTATAACCGTTTTCCTAGTTAATTTGTTAATTTAAAGACTGAATTGCAGTCAATAGGCTTTAAGCATGAAAAAAAACTGAAATATAAATAAGTAAACTGAAACATGAAATAACAATAACTAATGGATAACTAATGTTTTAAGGGCGATATTTGCAGACGCACACTATTTCATATGTTCTGGCAACTACAACCCCTATTTTATATCTGCCAAATAATAATAGACAGCAGTAATCTTCATCCCTTAATTATTTACAATTATATATGCAGTGGCATATAGCAAAAGATTCTTTACTTTGCTCGAGTCTTCCTGCTAAAGTTTATGTAAAGAAACTCTTAAATTATTAGTAGTATATTGACAGGGAAGTACCAGTTTCGTAGTGCTGATACAGTGTCTGGAGAATGATGATTATCATAACGGAACCAAGGAAGGGAAGAGTAGCTTCAGTTCCATGGGTCAAGAGCCCTTTGCGAGCATGAAGGGACCTTTTTCCCCATAAGAGGGCATATCTCATGAAAGTTTTGGACTGATTTTTCGTATGAAGTATTCAGCTCCTACTATTACTGATATCTCACAAATTCTATATGTTTACTAGTATCTTTCATACTATCGTAAGTTGATTTTAAGTTAACTAGCTGTCATTAGTATTTCTTATCACAACTTAGCTCATATACTTCCTGTCTCATAAACTATGTAGGATTAAGAAAGCCGTAAGAGTTAAGCTTCAAACATTCCTTCTCTTTGTTTCCACTGACCAATTTGGAATTTTGTCTCGCAAAATAAAGAGCACTAACATTCGCTTGCTCCTCAACATATTAAACTTACACCTGTTTCTCCACAGGCTCTGGGCTCACTGGTAGACCCCAGCAATACCATATACGAGGAAGCCTTAAAGGCGTTCCTTTCTTACCTGAAGACTGAGGCTCAGTACACCCCAGGTGGTCTTGTCTACCTGGACGCTTGGGGCTCCAACCGTCACGCTGCTAACGTTGCCTTCCTCTCTCTCTTTGTAAGTTAATCACTTAATTAACAGTTCATTTGCTTATTGTATATCAGTATCTTTTAATGACTTGCGTAGAATCATTCTTTAAGCATTTCAGAACACTATTAACGTTAACGAAAAAGGAAAGAAAACATTAAATTAAAGAGGTAAAAATTCAATCATCTAATCTAAATAAACATTGACAATTATTTACGATAGGGTGTTAATCGAGAAAATATTTTGAAAAATGTTAGATATTGTGAAAGCACATGCTCTGAGTGATGTGCATTTTTGTATACATGCCATGAGTCTGCTGTAATCCCTGAATTAGAGATTAGTCTCTTAAATAGATGTTCGTATCTTGGTAGACACTAAAAACCTAACTGGCGATAATCAACATCAATATAATAAGTTAACTTTGATTTCTTTTTCAGGCAGCCAAGTATGGAGACCCAGCAGATGCAGCCGCTAACACGGAGTGGGCTACAGGCCAGCTCGGATACATCCTGGGTGACTTCGGACACTCCTTCGTCGTGGGCTAGGTGTAGACCGTCCCACACGTCCCCACCACCGCTCCGGGTTACTCACCCTACAATTACTGCCAGTCACAAACACCAATCTACTACCCAGTCATTCGATCTTACATGATGCAGTACACCCCTCCAAACACAGATGACCCATTCAAGAATCACACACACAAAAAACCCCACAAACAAACACACAACAAAACACAAAACACACACACACAACACACAAACATTTTAACAAAACCAAAACCACACCACCAACACAACCCCCCCCCCCCACACCACACCCACACCCACCAAAATTCACCCCCCCAAACACACTTCCAACACCTTTCCCCCACCCCCCACATCCCCCCCAAACCCCAACCTCCTCCCCCCCCCCCCCCCTCCCCCCCCCCACCCCCACCCCCCCCCCCCCCTTCCCTGCACCCTCCTCCCCCCCCTCCCCCTTTCCCCCCTTTCCCCCCTCCCCTTCTTCCATCTCCTCACCCCTTTCTCTCCCTCCTCCCTCTCTCCTTCCCCCCCCCTCCCCCTCCCCACCCCTCTCCCCTTTCCCCTGCCTCCGCTCCTCTTTTTCCCCCCCCCTCCCCCCCCCCACACACTCGAACAAACACGCCACAAAACAAACACACAGAATTGCATACGTTTTTCATTCTGTGGCAACCGAAACAAAAGAAAATGTGTTGCCAGAGAGCAGGAAGGAAAACCAGGGGACTGGAGGATGAGTCTGCGAAGGAAAATTGGGCAGCAGAGGTCATAAAAGGGAACAAGAGTGGAGAAAGAAGCTACAAGAGCTTAACATGTAAATGGAGGAGAGGATAGAAGCAGAAAGCAAGAAGTGGGAGATACAAGTCACAAAGCAGAGACTAAGATACAGAAATTAGAAGAGGTACTGAAAAATCTGAAAAATCCTAAAGAATTAAAGAACAACTTGGGAATGACATCAGAGACTGCTACACAGTCACAAACAAGGGTACTGTAGGCAACGATGGAATGAATCTGTATGCAGAGGCCCTATCAGACCATCGCAAAGCCTGAGAAAAAGAAAGAATCACACCAGGAGCAATAGAGGGGACTGTAGAAAATGAGAGAACTAAGAAACCACAGTAGAGCCCAGGGATAGCTGAGAAGGGAAAATGACAGGCCATTGGTCCCAAGGACAACAGATAGTGATGAAATTGAAGAAAGGAAAGCTGCAATGGAAGCAATTAAATCGAATCAGGCGACACATAGGGATATGCAGTGGTAGACTGAAAGGGATAGGTCAGTCTTTGTTTAGGGGCTCCAGGAAGTTGAAGGGGAAACTTACAAAGCAAGAAGACAAGGGGAGAAAAAAGAGATCGAAAGTATCATAAAAACAATAGGAGAAGATGACATGACCCAGGTGACAAATTTTTGGTGAATAGGGGGGTTTGCAAGAAGAAGAACCCAGCCAGTTAAAGTGACTTTCAAGGCAGAATCGATTCAAAACAGGATCTTGCAGGAGAAAGCAAAACTAAGGGACATGCCAGCATAAGAGAAGGTGTATCTCGACCATGACAGAACACAAGAAGAAAGGCAAAAACTGAAAGAGATGGTAGAAAGATGAAAGGAGGAAAGAGAGGTGAAGATAGAGATGGACAGGAGAATCCAGACTAAGGAGGAAGATCAAATACAACCTCCCTCAGTGATCAGTCCTAGAACCTGTGCTGTTTTTGGTATTTGTGAATGACATAACGGAAGGGATAGACTCAGAAGTGTCCTTGTTTGCAGATGATGTGAAGTTAAGAACATAAGAAAGAACACTGCAACAGGCCTACTGACCCATGCGAAGCAGGTCCATGTCCCCCCCCGATTAGCCCAATGAATCCCCCCGGATTAGCCCAATGACCCCCCCCCCGGATTAGCTCAATGACCCACCCAGTCTGGTCACCTCCACTCAAGGAAGGAGTACAGCACCAGACCCAGCAGCACAAGCTAGTCAGGTCCAACTCACACCCACCCACACCCAGTCATGTATTTATCTAACCTATTTTTAAAACTACACAACGTTTTAGCCTCAATAACTGTCGAGGATCAGGCAGGACTACAAAGAGACCTGGACAGACTACAAGCCTGGTCCAGCAACTGCCTCCTTGAATTTAACCGTGCCATATGCAAAGTCAGGGAAGGGCAAAGAAGACAGCAGACAGAGTACAGTCAAGGTGGCCAAAGATTGCAAACCTCACCAAAGGAAAAAGATCTTGGGGTGAGTATAACACCGAGCACATCTCCTGAGGCGCACATAAATCAGATAACTGCTGCAGCATACGGGCGTCTGGCAACCCTAAGGATAACGTTCCGATACCTCAGTAAGGAATCGTTCAAGACTCTGTACACCATTTACGTCAGGCCCATACTGGAGTATGCAGCACCAGTTTGGAATCCACACCTGGTCAAGCACGTCAATAAATTAAAGAAATTGCAAAGGTTTGCAACAAAACTAGTCCCAGAGCTAAGGGGATTGTGCTACGAAGAAATGTTAAGGGAAATTGGCTTGACGACACTGGAGGACAGGAGGGTCAGGGGAGACAGGATAACGACATATAAAATATTGCTAGGAATAGACAAGGTGGACAGAAAGAGGATGTTCTAGAGATGGGACACAGAAACAAGGGGTTAAAATTATAAGTTGAAGAATCAGATGAGTTAAAGGGATGTTAGGAAGTATTTCTTCAGTCAGAGTTGTCAGGCAGTGGAATAGCCTCAAAAGTGACGTAGTGGAGGCGGGAACCATACATAGTTTTAAGACGAGGTTTGATAAAGCTCATGGAGCAGGGAGAGAGAGGACCTAGTAGCAACCAGTGAAGAGGCGGGGCCAGGAGCTTCGACTCGACCCCTGCAACCACAAACAGGTGAGTACAAACACACACACATACACATACACACACACACACATACTGATCTATACGCATTTCGCTTTCATTTACTTTCGAGAGGAGATGTGATAGTATGAGACTGATGGACTGGGTCTGATTTGCAGGTATCTCTCCTGTTCGGGCCTTGAGTTTATGCTCGCCAGTCCTTGAGGGCTTGAATACAATATTTTTTTCCAATTCCTTTGATAAAGAAGTCTTTTCATAAGTTGTAAATGTGCTTAAAAAACGAAAAACAAGATTGCGTTTAAGTATTAATCTATTTACCTAGGATTATTTAGGCATTGTTGCAGTCATATGATATCTTGATACTTTCTTTTGTTGTCACTATAAAATTTTATTTTTTTTAGCATAATGAATAAGTCTAAAAAATTGTTGTCCTGCTGAACATTATTGCTTCCTCCCCAGCTCGTGCCCGATTCCTCCACAGTCTTGTTTGAAAGACAACTGGGGTCAGAGCCAGCCAGGTCCCAACCCTCACACTCTCTACGGCGCTCTCGTCGGTGGTCCTGACGGGTAAGTTCAAAACAAATTTTAGTTGTGCGTGGGAATAAACATATTGATGAGTTTGGGGAGAATAATTGCAATATGATGTTGTGAACAGATAACAGCATATCCATGGAACATATTTTATGCCATTAGTTCTGAGGCTTATTTTATTTGTCATTATTTAACATCGTAAATGAAAAAAAATAATGTTACTATTAGAAACATAAATTAATATTTTGTTATTTATAACTGTACTTTCATTATTTATTAGAACAACATGTAAATTAATTTATGTAATATACATTACATAAATTCAGTTTAATTGATGAAAGTGTTTGTACTATAGCTCGAATGATTTCATTCTGAACTTTGTATCTTTAAGTAAATTCAACTATCCCTCCCGCTGTGATTAATGCGTGTTGTTCATACTTAAGTCTATAGACCAGCTTAAAGGTGTCGTTTTGGTTGCAGAATGACGGCTACACCGACGTGCGCACAGACTACCAGCACAACGAGGTTGCTTGTGACTACAACGCTGCCTTCAGTGGAGCTCTGGCAGCTATGGTAGAGATCAGCTAGACGACGCTCTCCTCTCCCATGAAACTAGCTGATAATGTTACATTATAGATTCAGTTGGTTTCCATGATGTTCACATTGCACTACATTTCTAAAACATATATATTCTATATTTAATAATAATATAATATAATATAA